AGAGAGAGAGAGAGAGAGAGAGAGAGAGAGAGAGAGAGAGAGAGCTCCTGATTCATAATGTAGGACTACACTTCTTTTTAGAGAAGGTGAAATGAACGCAACTGTCAAAAATAATTTATATCACCAAAGGGGCCTCAAGAGATTACATTGTCTACACAGACATTTCTCTTCCTCCGTCTCCAACGAACATTATGGAGTAAATAATGTGAGGTCTGACAATGTGAGGTTTAAAAGAAAAAAAAAAACAAAAACACAGAAAACTACAGCATCAGGAACCCCTAGCAGCTTCAATTTTAGAAGGAACTGTTTGCACGGGTTTCAATTGAGATGTTGAACTGCTCTCTTGCTTGTCAATAGCACAGCCTTCCGCAAGAACTGTACCACCAATCCTGCTTGGAGGCCAATATCGCAATACCGATCGCCCAATTATATTCTTTGCAGGCAGGGGACCCCTAGGTAACAAACAATTTCAAGTTTTAGCAAGGTTTTGGAACAAGAGAAATCTAGCACCTTTTGAATTCAGGAATGAGAATATATTACCAGACATGTGAATCATAGCTATTATTACGATTATCACCCATCACAAACACCGAGTTCTCTGGCACACGCTGCACCACCACAAAATAAAACAGCAGCAGATTAACATTGTTTTGCAATTTACAGTTCGACAATAAAAGATACTGTCAAGTCTCTCCCAGCTGGAGCTTGTGTTCCATGCCAAATGGTGTAGGTTTGAACCCTCGAGCACTGGTAATGTGATAACTTTTTAGTAAGTGTACACCACCCTTGCATCAGTCTGCCCATACTCCCACCCTCCCTAAAAAAAACCCAAAAAAAAACAAATCCCCCACAAACAAGAAAATACAAAGTAGAGAGAGAGAGAGAGCATACAATCGGTGTCATTTCATAGTTAGGTGCTTCAAGAATAAAGTCTTCATTTCTGACAACCCCATTCACAATTAACTTCCCTTCATGAACCTGCAGTGCAAAACTACTACCCATGAAGGATATCTGCAAAGAATTTTAGGAAAACATTTATCCCCAAAAAGGGTTAAGAAACTAAATGTGCTTGTCTGCAGCATCATATTCTGATGCTGTCAATTACATATTTTAGAGGATAAAATACCAAATGATGAACTGTCCATGTGTAAGTAATTGTTACCTGAGAGAAATAGGAATTAAGAAAGTGGCAGCACATAATATAATCAATAACTAGATTTTCCAGGTTTACTTATCTTGTTTAGCAAGGGATAAATGGATAAAGGAAATAAATAAAGTTTAATGATCTCACCTCCACAATATCACCTCCCTTTGCCACAACTCGTTTGATGAAGACATCATCATCTGTGTATCCTACTTCCTGAAGCACTGGCGGGCTTTTAAAAATCACAATATCATTTGGACATGGCCTTCTAAAATAGTAACTAACCTGAAAATTTTAGGATAGATATCAGTTGTATGAAGAACTTGAACTTTAATTCTTCGGATATGATTCACTAGAAGGCAAAACAAGGAAAATAAAACATCTATACAACGAAAGATCAGCATATTGGCCGATTTGAGTGTTAAAGACAAGCATTGTAATTTCGTGCTTATTTGAGTATAAGCAGAAGCAGAACCATATGCCATTTGAACAGATTTAAGAACTAAACATAAAAAGTGATATGTAAAAAAAAATAAGGAATATGGAGTTTGTTCAATCTTCAGACACTACTCATGAAACTGTTATTTTGTTCTTTAAAAAAAAAGTTGTTTAAACATAGACAAATTTTTTTTTCTTGTTCAATTCCCCTCTTCTATTTAGTTCCTCCTGTGAACTTGTATGCCACTAAACTTCTACTTTCAAGTCAATCAATAAAGCACCCCAAGACATATTTTTTCCAGTCAATCGACATTTTTATACATTGCAAAGCAACTTAAAGAGATGAGACTCAACCTCCATATCCTTCTCAAGCTTCCTACAATTTTGTATCTTCACTCATTCTGTCAACTCTAAACGTCTAGAAGTACCACAAGAAATCACTACATCAAATGGGAAAACCAATCTGAGTGATTGTCTCAAGAAGTGATAATGGAAGGCACAATTCTTCCAGCTGATTGTACATCTATTTACATTTTTTTGTTAATGTCCATCAAAGAAGATTACCCCAGCACCCTTCCAAATGGCAGGGTAATGTGTGCTCACATACACATGTTTCCATTTACTTATATAGTTATATAAGTTTGTGCTGGTAGGAGTATTTCCTTTGTAATATAAGCATGCTTTCCTAGTCTCTCCAACCAAACTAAATTTATGAATCCGTTGTTTTTTTCTGCAGAATTTTGAGAATACTAGGTTACTCTCCACTCTACAACCAAATGTAGTTTTAGATTTTCTGCAAAGGTTAAAATTACAATTCTAACTATAATTTCCATCAAATTCAGCACTTGAATTTGAAACCTTACCACAACTTTTCAGGGGAAATATGTTCTTCAAAATCTAATGTCGGACAAATAACAGTAAACAAATATCTCTTGCCTTAAAATCGATTTCAATATCAAACCAACAGTTCAAGCTTTTAAAAATATTGCGTTTCTTGTGACGATTAGGTCTCCAACATGAATGTCAAATACATAAAAATTGAAGGATTATATCTAGTCATATAATCAATATTGAAGATCTAAATTACAGTTGAGCACCAAATATAGTCTTAAATCACTCTCAAAGATCAGAATTCCAATTTCAATTCAGTTTTCAACTCATTCAGCTCTAAAATTCCAAACTTTATCAACATAAAGACATGTCAAAACACAAATATCACCTTTTCCGCAACAACTCTATCTCCAACATCAAATGTAGGATACATAGACAACGAAGGAATATATCTAGGCTCAGCCACAAAGGACCGAAAAGCAAACGAAATCGCCAACGCTGCAAAAACCGTCTTCGCATCATCAGAAGTGAAATTCAACCAGTCTGGCAAAAACCCAGAAACCCCATCACTCTTCTCCACCTTCCCATCATCTCCACCACCATCCCCGCCACCATCACCACCGCCTCCACCACTATCTAAGTCCAAAATCGTCTTGGTTTCTTCATTGGAGTCTCTAAGCCCTTTACAGTTTAGCCTCTGAAACCTACTTCCTTTACAGTTGAAGTACTTAAAACCAAGAAATTTGGGGTTCTTGAAGTGAGCTTTGCAATGGGTGTTGTTGAATAGATGTATTTTTGAAAAAGAATTGAAATTGAGGGTGTTAAAGCAAAGGTTTTTGGTGGGTGTGAAGCAATTGGTAAAGGTTAAATTAGGGTTTTGCACGGAAGGCAATGGAGGGACGAGCTGAAGAGTTATCATTCTTTTCTCTCTCACAAAAGTTCCCCTCCACAGTACGTTGAAACTGAATTTACAGTTAAATATACTGATGTCTTCCAATCTACAGGCATATTTTTGTTGGTTTACTTAAAAATAAATATTAAGGAAAATTAACTTTTTCTCCTCAATTTCATTAGAAATGGTAAGGACGGGTTTTTCTAGAAGAGATCAATTAATTGGAAAGTTGGAGTTTGAATTAATGGGATGAAAGAGATACAAAAAATTAATTTTATTGTGAGTTCAAGGGGTACGACTATAAATATTTATTGATAATATGATAATCTTTATATTTTTTGTATAATATTTTTAATCAATATTTTTCCTTTCCTTCTTTTAAATAGGCAAAAGGGGATAATTTATGCGGGTGTTACCGAGTGGGGTGATTGAGTGAGATATCAGCCGAACTTCTCATCTTGAGGTTGAAAATTCAAGTCTTGGAGTTCACATTAAGGTTCAGTGGTTGATCGCTATGTTAGTTTAACTAGATTCATTCACGAGAGGAGTAACAAAGAGCCTCGTGATCGCACTAGTGAAAGCCTATCGATGTAGTCTCTAAACNAGGCTCAGCCACAAAGGACCGAAAAGCAAACGAAATCGCCAACGCTGCAAAAACCGTCTTCGCATCATCAGAAGTGAAATTCAACCAGTCTGGCAAAAACCCAGAAACCCCATCACTCTTCTCCACCTTCCCATCATCTCCACCACCATCCCCGCCACCATCACCACCGCCTCCACCACTATCTAAGTCCAAAATCGTCTTGGTTTCTTCATTGGAGTCTCTAAGCCCTTTACAGTTTAGCCTCTGAAACCTACTTCCTTTACAGTTGAAGTACTTAAAACCAAGAAATTTGGGGTTCTTGAAGTGAGCTTTGCAATGGGTGTTGTTGAATAGATGTATTTTTGAAAAAGAATTGAAATTGAGGGTGTTAAAGCAAAGGTTTTTGGTGGGTGTGAAGCAATTGGTAAAGGTTAAATTAGGGTTTTGCACGGAAGGCAATGGAGGGACGAGCTGAAGAGTTATCATTCTTTTCTCTCTCACAAAAGTTCCCCTCCACAGTACGTTGAAACTGAATTTACAGTTAAATATACTGATGTCTTCCAATCTACAGGCATATTTTTGTTGGTTTACTTAAAAATAAATATTAAGGAAAATTAACTTTTTCTCCTCAATTTCATTAGAAATGGTAAGGACGGGTTTTTCTAGAAGAGATCAATTAATTGGAAAGTTGGAGTTTGAATTAATGGGATGAAAGAGATACAAAAAATTAATTTTATTGTGAGTTCAAGGGGTACGACTATAAATATTTATTGATAATATGATAATCTTTATATTTTTTGTATAATATTTTTAATCAATATTTTTCCTTTCCTTCTTTTAAATAGGCAAAAGGGGATAATTTATGCGGGTGTTACCGAGTGGGGTGATTGAGTGAGATATCAGCCGAACTTCTCATCTTGAGGTTGAAAATTCAAGTCTTGGAGTTCACATTAAGGTTCAGTGGTTGATCGCTATGTTAGTTTAACTAGATTCATTCACGAGAGGAGTAACAAAGAGCCTCGTGATCGCACTAGTGAAAGCCTATCGATGTAGTCTCTAAACGCACTTCTTTATCCCCACTTTTTTGTCAAACAAAAACAACAAAAAAAAAAAAAACAAAGAAGAAGAAGCTTGCTTTGCACTTTATATACCTGAGGATAAACTTGAAGCTCTGCAAGCAACTAATACATTAAACAAGTACCTATTAATAGAAGACAAAAATAGATCACCATATAAGTTTCACCTCTCGTGTTTAGTGCTTATTATTCACATGAGAAGGAGTCTTGAATTTAAGTACTTAATAGTCAGCGTAAAACTTAATAAATTTAATATGAACAAGAATTCTGAACATATATTAATGTTACCAACATCAAATTCACATTGAAAATAGGTTTTTAGCACTGTGAGGGAACCAGCTGACCTGGAGGTTAGATTAACTGACTTGGTGTACAAGGACCCAGATCAGTCAATCCTTTAACCAGCTTGACTAAGACTTGAATCAGCTCGGCCATTATCAAATGAGCTGGGTTTATTTGAAATAGCTCATCCCACGGTAGAGGAATGGATCTAATGTAAGATACGAAAAATCTATCTTTAGAGTGTCACGTCATTAGTTTATAAAATGTCACGTCACACTTAAAGAATGTAACTTTTAACAGTCAAATATTCCCCCCCAAATCCTAACAAACTAGGGAATTATCTTATCATTACTTAAAGATCACACCATCCTAGTGTATAAATAAGTAAATCCTTGTCTCGCCCAAAAGTATATGCTATTGTATTCTCAAAAAAGTTATGAAGGTCTTCTTCTCCAAGTAAAACAAATCAAAAAGAGCAAAAAACTTCATTAAAGTGGATTAATCTAATTCTTCAACTTAGTGAACCACCTAAATTCCTTGTGTTCGTGATAACTGTTAACACTCACACTTAACTCATTCGCGTCACAGAAGAACACTTCATTTCTTCCATCTCACTCTAGGAAACCAAACAGGAAGGAGTGGACATGAGAGCAGTGAATCAAATGTAGGAGAAGGGCAGAAGGAACAAGAGAATTAGAATGATTTTCATTACAAGGGAAAACATTTACATTTTCAATATTTGACAGTATCGTTGTCTGCCATGGGAACACAAACTATTGTATACATAAATTATGAACAAATACATAAATCATCAGAGAAATGGTTGCAAGATCATGGATTCCATTAGAATTGGAGGTGAATTTTTTCAGAAAGTAATCGGAAGTGAATTTTGTTATCCTGAAAGATGCCTAAAATTCAATAGGCTCCCCTCACCAGTCACCAATGTTTTCCATCAGCTTCAAATCACTGCTCTACATGAATTCACATAACCACAAATTCCAACCTGCACTTGAAAGTGCTTGTGATATATCATCAGCGGTTTCACCTTAAATCCACAAGTATGAGTAATAAACATGGATTTAGTTGTACTACTCAAGCTTTCGGATGAAAATCCTGATCTTTTCAGCATCATCCGGCTTCTTGTGTTGAGCGCAGCTGACCCATTTTGATTGGCTACAATGATACCTGATACTTGCAGAAGACTTAAATTAGAAGCACTAACATTTTCTTTCTCATAAACTTTACCCAGGCTCTCTTCTGGTGACTCGCCCCTCTTGGTATTTGATATAGCCCTTTGGTCATCATCTGGATCATTCATGATTCTCTTGGCTTCATTTACAAAACCAATGGCACGCCATGCCTCTGCAACGAGCTTAATGGTGTTCTCCACAGGAATGACTCCGTTTTCTTCCATAGTTTGGAGTAATTCCTCTGCTTTCCATGGTTGTTTTGCCTCTCCATATCCCCATATTAGAGTATCAAAAGTTTTCAAGGTAGGTGATATGCCCATTTCACACATCTTCTCAAACAACCTCAAAGCATGCTCCATTTTGCCTGCACTGCACCATCCACTAATTACGGTAGTGAAGATTACCACATTTGGGTGCACCGCAGATTTGCCCATGATTTTCAGGAGTGCCTCAGCTTTTTCAGGATCTCTGGCACGCACATAGCCTTTTGCAAGAATGCTGAATGCCTGAATGTCAGGTGCTATTCCAGCCTTCACCATGTCATTAAAAATTTCTTGGCACTTGTCCATTAGTCCAGCCGAACTCCATGCATTCATGATGGTGCTAAATGTTATGACATCTGGTTTGACCCCAAATTCCTCCATTAGTGTAAATGCCTGAATAACTCACTCCCATTACAAAAATGTAAGAGAACACTTTCAGGACTTAATCAGATAATGAATCCGGAATAAAATGAGAAAAAAAGAACACCACGGGTGGCGGATGAGAAAGATGGGTGAATAAGAGTGTGGAGATTTCAAGATGTCATAGAAGCTGTGAATTAGTGGAGCTCAATGAAAACTCGACCAAATTATATAGAACCCAGTAAAAGTGCATTTCAACTAAAAAATAGACGAAAGTACAGAGAAAAATATCACAAGAAGAAAGTATCTACAAACTCCATCCCTCCTTTCACATGCCATGTCCAAAGCATGGGGGATTGCATCTATGGTAAGAAAAACTGTTTGTGGCCCCCTCCTGTAGATTCTACTTGCATGCATCTCTTTTATCATAGTAATACACTTTCACTCTTCCACCAGCAAGAATTCAAATCAATTAACAGAAGCAAAGTCAAGTAAAAAAGATCATATCCATAACAACGAAAAATAAGTGTGCTGTTAGCGAACAACTGTATTCTTTGTGCAAGAGGCAAATTTTAGAAGTGTTAAGTGAAAATAAAATCCTGCAGTTAACTAATCCTAAATTTTCCATTCCTAGTACACGAACGATGATATTGCGTGATTTCAGTGTTGAACGTTTTCATTATGAACTACTCTACAAGGGTATGAATCATCCAAGTAATTACCACAGGTCAAAACATACCTCGTCAACTCCTTCAGTATCTGTAATGTCAAGAAACCCCTTGATAAGAGAGTTGAAAATGATGAGATTGGGGTGCACCCCAAGTTCCTTCATCCTGTACATAAATCTCAGTGCATCTGTCATGTTACCTTCTTTACAGTATCCATTGACAATAATACCACAGGTCCGCTGATTTGGCGCCACTTTGTCATTCTGCATCTGAAATATCATGGCTTCAGCCTTATTTGTTTCCCTGTTCTGAGCATAAGCCCTTGCAATTGTATTGTATGTAACAACATCAGGTTTCATACCAAATGCAACCATCCTGTGAACCACATTCCATGCTTCCGTGGTGTTGTTCTTGTTACACCACGCACGAACAAGAATATTATATGTTCTATCATTGGGTTTCACATTTCCTTCCAGTGACATTAGTTCTACTAGTTTCAAAGATTCTTCAGGCTTACCAATTATCCCAAACCCTTTAATTAAGGTATTATAAGTGCTGGTTGTAGGCTTACATCCACCGTCCTTCATTTTGTCGAAGATTTTCATGGCCTCCTTGACATTTCCAGATTCAGCAAAAGCATTGATCATGGCATTGAAGAATATTGAGTCAGGCTTCAACCCATTCTCTTCCACCTTAGTAAGAAGCAAAGGAATGGACTTGAAATGTTTCTGGAGAGTCAAAGCAGCCAAGAGAGTTGTGTATGTTACAAGAGTTGGCCTGTGTCCTTCTTCAGTTAAACTGTTAAAAATGGAGTGGACTTCTTGAGGCTTTTTCCTCTCAATCAAAGTATTCATCAATTTTGTTCTCGAACGAACTCTTTGACAACTATCGCTGCCCAAACAAGCATGGCAGTGAGATTGAACTTGAGAATCTAGAGAAGCTGAAACCAGATGGGCTGGGCTCTTATGCAGATGTGATTCCTGCAGAACTTGTAGATCATCAAAACTTGTCCTATGAGACATAATTCAGACTATGAGCAGTGGTAAACTTTTGGTTTTTGACAATAGTTGTAAAGATTATGAGTATGTGATTGTGTGCACACATTTAGCCAGAGGGAGTGCTGCAATTTGGAACTGTCCTCGGGAACAGGACAAGGAAAATGAAATTGGCTTGGTTTGCAGAAAATATGAAACTCAAATTATCTTCTGTGCAAGAAGCATGGTAGAAATTGAGGGGGACTGCGATTGCACTGGAAGGTGCAATGATAAATCAGATGGAATATGTAATCAACGATTTGATTTCCAATACAGGAAGGACAAGAAGGTAATGCATCTTGCTACTATTGCCCTGCAATGTCCGTCTATTACAAGACAATCACTCCACAGTAACAGATTTTTCCATTATCCTTTCACAGAAGCCAAAAAACTGTAGATAGTTTTTACATAGAATTCAAATTGGTTTCTGAAAAAAAAAATGAACTATTTCATCTGTTCTTGACATCACCTTTTCATCCTCTTTCTTAAAGTATCCAAACTAAAACTAATTGTCAATGAGTAGAGAGGCTTGCAAGGTTCATACCGTAGTTTGGAAGGCACTATTACACCGATGTACGACAAGCTCTAACAATGCCCGAGTGTGACCTCCACTCGCACATGGAGAGGTAGAGAGAAGAATCCATGAACTTAACCAGAGACATTGGTGCACTTCTGGCAAACGTATAGGAGAGCCAAAATACCAAATATGAATAACACTGAAACAGAGTTTTACCCAAAATCTCCAAAAACCAATCTCTAATACCATCTTCTGACTCCAGAGAGAGAAGCCAGAAAAGAAGCAGCAAAAGAGTAACTTGGCTTGCTCTCGAATGGGGACACCCATGCTGTATCTATTAGTGAACAACAAGACACAAAACCCTTAATAATAATAACTCTAACAGACAGGGATAGCTATATCCTCAAAACTACTAGTCAAAGCACAGAGAAAAGACTTTCACTTGGCGAGCTCTAATTGGGCAAAATGACTACAAGATCATTTTAAAACACATGACAGGGCATACAAGTAGAGCCAATTTTAAGGAAACCATGGATTAATGATGGACAAAAAGTAGGGACTACTGATGGTGATAAAGGGAATGGAGTGAGGTTTGATTATAGAAGAGTAAGTGATATTCTATATAACAGCACCAAAAAAATAAATAAATAAAGAACTTCAAAATATGGATGTTCTGGTAGCCAAGAAAGTGAGATGCACTCACCAATCCCTAAGGAAACTAGATGCACTCACTATCAATTCATAATGAATGCATTGGAGTTCCAGAAAAGATGTTTATTCTAATCAGATGAAATGATCACGAGGTTGTAACAATACCATGGTGGTTGATGCTTGAATCTGAGAACTGCCCTTAGTTGTTCCATCTTTGTGCCCTCCTACAGTGACAGAATGAACCCTGTCTTTACTGAACTCTCCCATTCCTTATCTGCAGCGTCTTTAAGATCTTGGCCTTCCTTACTGATCCGATGGAACTAAAATATCAGTCAGCAACTGAACATCCAGGCCACAGAATCTCAATTTTACCTTATAGTCATTCTCAGATGAGCTGATGCATCCTATAACTTTTGAGTTATCCTACAAAGAATCAAGCCAAAAAATATCAGAAAATCAGTTTGAAATAGTGAGTCCATATCTGGATTTGATAGCATGAATGCATGTTTGAAATTTTACTGAAAAACTGAAAATCCAACAAGCTAAAGGAGAGCAACATTTGGAAATTTAATATTGAATATAGTCCAATTTTGTAAAGAAAATGGTATAAGTCAGTCAATTTCTGGATTCTACAGCCAGTAGCAAGAACCAAGAATCAAATTGGGTAAAGAAGAGCATCATTTGAATTTTAATATTTGAAAATTATCCAATTTTGCAAAGAAAATATGAAGTTGTTTGAGAGTGTGACAGATTCCACTGGGTGCAAACTGGATCAGTTAGTTTCTTTGTGAACAAGAATACACCTTGCGTGGATAAAACTATAAAAAAATAACTACCAGAAACATACTAGACCACCAGACCAACTTATGAGGAGCCATAACTTCAGGTAGAAGTATCGATTCAAACTTGACATGAGCTTTCAGTCACTATGAGACTAGTGCTTCATTTGGGTTCAGAAAACACACACTAAATTGACACTTGAACCACAGGTGCTCCCTCCCTTTACGCCAGTCCCTCTACAGTTAACCAAGTTTACAAGCCTTCTTTCTCTTATGTTATGCAGAACTTCCAATAGCAATCATCTCCTTTCTAATTTCATCCTCAAAAGAAAAGTGGTACAAGATTTCTTGTACAATGAATAGGAAGAAAAAATACACAAAGAAAAAATGCAAGAGAATTAGTTTTGGAATGAACAAGGGAGAGCCTAAAAGAGCAGAACTTTGCAGGCATCAAGGACCCTTCATATCATATAAGGTCAGTCACTATTTGTCCAACAGCGGGGACAGTAACCTTTAGGCCATCCGCTAACCTCGTTCTTCATATCATATAACTATATAAGCTCCCAAGAAAGAAGGTAGAAAGTGAAGTCCATGGGCAGCCCAACATAATTGGGGGCCCTAGGCAAAAATTTTAAATTAGGCCCTATTAATATATTTTACAATAATATAAATAACTGTCAAAAATTAAATTATTTAATATTTAATATTTTTCTTTTTTGAGATTCAAAAATATTAATTGAATTTTTAAATTCAAGTTTTATACATTAAAATTCAATTAACAAAAGTCGAATCCTTGACCAAATATAATTAAATTAATTTTCTATTAAAGATAATGAGAAAGAGAATAAAAATTTAAACTAATTAACAAAATGAATTTTTTTCAGAACAAATGTAAAAGTTAAAAATTGTGTAAGTTAAATGGTATTAGAATATGTGAAACATGTTTTAATATTGCAGAGAGCCATCAAAATGTTTTAACTAAGAAATTTTAGCAAGACAATTATGGTTATATTTCAGATAGTGAGATACTTCTACTCACTCTATTCTATAGTCATTTTTATATGCTTTAAAAAAAATAATTAAGTAAAAATCTATCCTAAATTTGAAATAACCTCAAATTTAATCTAAAAAAATATAAAGTTATAATTTATAACTATTAGTTGATAGATAATGAATTATTCAGTTTTTTTTTTATAATAAATAGACAAATATTTTATTAGGTGATAACACATATTTTTCATATACCATAAACATTAGACAAATATAAAACACATAAGCTCAAACTTTAGGGCCCTAAATATTTTTGTAAGAAATTCTAAAAATTTTACAATAGTATTACTTGTATTTAATCTAGGGACCTAATTTTGACACTTAATAAATTATGGTTATTTGATTTTTAGTAAACTTATTCATTGGTATTTTTTCTTACTAATTTAATGGTAAAAATGCATTAAGTTCTAAAATTAAACCCAAAAATGAAGTCTAGTAAAATTGTATAAAAATTTATATTAGGGCCCCAAAATTTTTGTCCCATTTGGGGGCCCTAGGCAATGGCCTAGTGCATGGGCCGGCACTGGTGAAGTCCTTGGCAGCAATACTCAAACTCACCATTATAACATAATAAGCTATAAAATTGAAAGGAAATAATGACCAACAAGAGGACAGTGAATGAGGGAAGACTTCAAATTTTGCTGACTCTGCACAACAAATGAAATCTTGGTCAAGAGTCTACTGTAATTTGAGAGTTCAAAGTGAGGGCGAGCAGTGTCAGATTATTGTAATAAATTAGATCTAGGTATCCATGTATGTAGAATTCACAAGTTAAATAAGTCAAACAATCAAAACTCCATATGGGTAATTGGGTATCACGATTGCACTTGTGGAATACAACCAAAAAATTGTAATTTTAGAACTCAGACATGAGAATATCAAATGCTTAACAAGAATCTTAAAAAACCTTCAAGGAGGGAACTGGAAACACCTTAATGACCAGAAAATGCAATTAAAGCATGATATTACTGACCCATTTGAGGGGGAGAGAGAGAGATGTTGTGGGTGGTACCTCTTTAGTTCAGTTGTTGCAAGCTTGGGGAGGGGAGAGAAAGATTGCATGGCTGCAGAGGAGAATCTGCGCGTAAGAAGTGCATTGCTGCATAGTGATTTGGGATTGGGTAATTCTTATCTCACAAATATTATCAGAAATCAGAATGTTGTTTGAGAGTTTCAGTTTCTTGAGGCTGAGCCTTAACCCAATGAACAAATAGTGAATATGATAATTTAAGGGGAGCACAGTTTGCCACGTCACCTTTCACACTCCACAAACTTTGTAAGATTCAAAAATCTAACTTCATGAGTTCGGACCCTTAAACTTGACCCGAACTTAGCGGTTATTTTATTACACCATGCATAGATGATGTGATCAAATCCTATATTTTGTTTGTGGGCAATGTTACGTACAGTTTATTTATGTTCCGTTTGGTATAATAAAAAAAAAAGGATAAAAAATTTAAAAGATGAAAAATTAGAGGGATAAACAAAATATTATATTTGGTAAGAAAGAAAAATAGGAAAGATGAAATAGATTAATTTTTCTTCCAACTCATCAAAATCAATCCCTTCAAAATCGAAAGAAAAATGGATGAAAAGTTAATTATTTATGTTGAAATGTATCTTATTTGTCTATATAGCTTTTGATATATTCATATATTATGCATATATTAATTTCGTATAAAAATATAATGATAAAATATGTGTTTGTGTATATATATATATATATATATAATTTAAAAATAAAAAATAAAAATGTTAAATTAAAAAAATATTTTTTTTTGACAATTTTCGACACAACACGATAACACGACTCAAACTCGGCACGAATTTTATGACACGAACTTAAAAATGACCTACCACACGAATAAGAAATATAAAAGACTCATAAGTTTATGATTCAACACGAATCTGACACGATATGACTCGATTGTCACCCCTAATCTTAGACAACACAAAAAAAATTTAAAAAAAAATTAGTCATTTTCATTTTTCATTCATCCAACAAAACACAAAGGAAGGAAAGTGTATCATTCCTACTTTTCATCCTTGAAGGATAGAAAATGTATCCCTCCTACTTTCCATCATTCATACTTTCCATCATTCTTACTTTCTATTTTTCCTACCAAACGTACCATTAGTGATTTTATTATTTTTTGTCATTAAATTGATAGTAGACCTTACAATTTTTTGAAAATTCATCATTATATCACCAAATAAGATCACTAAATTAGGTATACGAAACATTTTTCTTCGCTTAATTATACATGATTAATACATTTATTAATGATAAGTACATTTATTTTTGTACATACGTCTTGCCCCAATTCATTTACAACTTATTAATTAATCAATATTCTGGCCCACCTTTAATCAGTTTCATCCAATTAACCACGTGTTTATTCTCTAATCTGATAGATAAATGTTTAAACCTTTTAAAATTCTATGGTTATACTTAGTTATGAATACTCTTAAATTTTGTAGACTCCTAGTCTTTCAAAAGTTGGATAGTTTGCCACTGTGACACCCTAACTGATTTGGGTGCAAATGATCGGTCTTGGTGACACCTTGTACCAAGGCATGTCATAAGTTGGAATCAAGGTGATGCGGTTAAGTGGTTCGACAGATTGAGGCGAACCAAGACAGCATGAGAACACTCGGTTGAGCATGACAACACGTGGTGGGCTCAATTAAAGCAATGTGAGTGCATAGCTTCGGATTGCATGGCATGGGTTGAACTCAGCATGCACATTGGGTCGTGTAGCCAAGCTGACTGTTGAATGTGGGCACTTGACTGGCACATGGCTGTTCAATGCATGTGACCAGGAGGATGTTGGCAGTTATGATGCTGAGACACAGTCAAGGCAGTTGCTGAGGCAGTTCTGGGCGTCCCTAGTCTGAATCCAGTCTAGATGAAGGGTAGTTCCACAGTAGTTATTAGAAGTGGTGGAATTGCCTGCCAGATGTCACACGGAGACCAAGCCTGCTAGCCAGTATGCTATGAAATAACAAAAACGTGTGTAACTAACCCTTGGCAGATGGGGGTGTCATCTGCCTTACTCCTGTATAAATAGGGGTGCTTGAGCATTCTGATGAGATGTGAGTGTTCTGGCTTTGAGAGTTCTTGTAAATTGTTGAGTTCAATATATAAGGTTTGGGAGTTGTCTCAGTAAATTTGTGTGTGCCTTCTGTGTGAGTTTCTGTCCCTTATTCTTGAGTTTGAGTGTGGCTGGTTGCAGTAGCAACACCTTCACAAGTAGCTTCGAAGGAAAAACGAAAGTTACCCTATGATAGTCACTTAGGAGTGGACGTTAATGGTAGGACATTACCCATTTTAACATGGTGTTACCAACTAATTATAAATAAATAAAAAGAATTCATAAAATTGAAGAAAAATGTAAGAGAATAGATATGCACACACACATCGAGAGAGAGAGAGAGAGAGAGTTATGTAAACCCTAATTGTTGCTTTGAGATAAATTTGAACTACGTAATTGGTTCCAATATCATATGAATTCTAACGTAACGATCAATAACAATCAATTTCTCAATTTGTTTTTTAGTGATCCCACAAAGAAGATTTGTATTTACTATATGCCTGCATTGTTTTATTTTTTAGGAGAAAAATCTGGTTAAGGCCATGTGGCCACACGGAACTTGAGGCTCTTAGTTCTTAATACCCATCGAATTAGTCCCAATTTCTTTATTTTTTATTCAAATTTTATGCGGTTTCCATGTTTATTTTTAATTTTGACGGGTCAATGAGCCAAGTGGCATACTAGTCATTAGTCCTTCTAAAGGGTTTCGAATTGTGCCTCACATGTAATCTTGAGATCTTAATACGAATACTACAATAATAATTTTATAAACATATATAAAATTTTGGTTCAAACTAGTCTACACCTTTTAGATCCGTACCTCTCTTATCTCTTAAAGTTCTTATTCACGTTATATTAGAACTCTTCTAATCTATTTCCTATTTGGTTTAGTCACTAGTGAACTTGTTCAAGAAATATTAGGACTTTGTTAACTTCTTTTCTATTTGACGCGGG